GTTCTATGATTACATGCACAAAAAAGAAACAAAGAATACATCAATGCATCAAAACAAAATCTTATCTTGCACTTCCATTTGTTACATTCCATGATGATACCAGACGCTTAAGTGTTGCTAGGAGAAGTACAGGAAGCAAACAGTATAAAGCAGATATGTATTGTGCTTTCTCATCGTGCAAGTTAGTGTGATAAGACTGATATAGAACAACAATCAAACGTTTGAAATTAAAGTTTCTACAAGGTTTGTAGTTGCATAAAATCCAGTTGAAAAGCTTACAATATTTTACATGAATGAATTGTATGCAAAATAACTCTATAGTATCTCATCATTGTAAATATATCGAGGGATCGCCTTATTCTAGATTTGTTATGCTCACAACAGTAGGTGTTAAGTGTTGCTTTGTGGCAATAATATGTTGTACTTCATATTTTATCTCAGTGTAGTTATTTCTTCTTCTCGTTAGGGATCATTTATTTTAGGGTATAATTGTGGAACATTAAAAGCTGCTTAAACCGGTGGAGGGTTGGGGAAGACACGGTACAAATTTCATTTTTACGTCATGCTCAATAAACCGGCTCTGTAATTTTGATGCATTTTTGTTGCTTTCACTATTATATTGCAATTGAAAAATTCAAAAGCTTGAACTTCCCATCAAACCCTCATATTAAGTGAACTACATACAAAAAAACTTTGAATCAGCATTACAAGTTCATAACTTATGATTTTTACGTATTTTGCTAAATAATGCTATGGAAATAACCCTACAAAATTAGCTTTTAATTAATATATATTTTATTAGGCTTGAAACAATAACAAGGCGGTAATGGAGAAATAAATTTGTTCTAAAAATGGTTGACTAGATATGGTAGTCAAAATATAATCAACATATTTCTCCACTTGTTTGGTGAAATCAATTGGTAAAAACAGATGTAACAAAAATTGATACATTAAACAAGATATTCTTCCCGCTGATAACAATGGCTTTTCTGAGTTTATTTTTACGCTAAATTAAACACCAACTCAGTCGAATAATATGGATTAAGTTACGATGTAAATAGGCATATAAATATAGCAAGCCTAGAGTTAAAATCGAATGTCACATTATTTTTGCAGTCATGTTAGACAAAGTTTATTCTTTTCTTTCGGTTTTTTGTTTCGTTTTAATTTTGTTTCTGTTCATTATCGATAGTTTAAACATATAAATTACCCTCGAACGAAACTTATATTAATCATTTTCGAGTCCTGGAACCAACCTGTACTGGTATTCATATGCAGAAACATTGACAAATGATATAGAAATATCCGCAAACTCCTCTTTTCACCATGTTTCTCTTAATTATTTTTTTATCAAATGCATACAAGTATTTGTATTTTTTTTATTTTCTTTCTTTATGGGGTTTAATTAAAATAATAATTAGCCTTGTATTATATTTACATATTGCTTTTGTTAGAGGAGAGGACTACCATGAGCTATTGTAGCTCTCGGTCCAATTCCTTTCTGCTTAAATTGTAAATTATTAACATGTATATAATTATTACCTTAAAAAATATGTTTAAACCAAACATGGTCGTGACCCGATTAGGGCCGTTGATCCCTGGGATGAGAGGCAGACACATTAAGCACTAGCCAACCGCTCCCCCTTTAATGAACATTTACGTACTTAGCCTTATGGACTATAATTGTGATATCGTTTTATATTGTCAGCAAAAATAGAAACGGGTTAATATCTGAAGTGAATAATAAATTGTAATTGACTTGGATTTATTCTTTTCCTGTCAGTATAGTTTATAAAGAAGTATCAAGAAAACTAAGAAAACAGCGTCTAATTTATAGGTTTGAAGTAGGTTTTATTCTTTGATTACATCTTTCATCCTATCGTATGATAAAAACACGTGCACCATGAGAATTATCTGTGATCAAACATGCTGAAAGTCGTTTAGACAGCAATTATCATGGGAAGTTCAAATATTGAAACAGATAAAGAAACAAAAATTCCTCTGGGTAAACTTTATAATTTACTTGGTATCTATACTATTTATTCAATTGTATTGAACGTATTTATCCGTAACATTAACAATAGAACATACAAGATATTCTAACATATCGTTGCATGTAATCTGTATAGTAAAGTAGTGCCAACAGGACGCAAGATGTCGCAGGCGCGAAGACACATTGCTTATTTAGCTGGTTCGGTTTGAATGAAACTACTAGTATGTATGGAAAGAGGTGTTTCGGTTTCGCTGCCAGATACCACTAGAACACCCTCTTGTCGATGATATACCCAAAACGTTTAAAAATTTGCAGATATGCTCCAACGTATCACAGGGACCTTCAATTACGTATTAAAAATCGCTGTAATGCATAACTATCCGGTAATTTTGGAAAAAAATTATTAAAGGGACTGTAAATATTTTCCTTAGATTCGTGTACCAACTGAAGAAAGTATGAACCAATAACTTGTGTGCAAACGTGTGGGTCATTCCCTCACCGCATTTTTCTAAAATAATCATCTATTTTTATTGTGCAAATCACCAAAAAAAGCGTTGAAACGCTTTCCACTTGAATTCAGCTAAGAATCGTAGAGAAATCGATTTGCAAATTACTTCTGTGTATAGTTCTATGTTACCCATTGTAAAGTTTTCCATTTTAATTCCTTCACTTGAAATTTGTAAGATTTTTACTTTTTATTGTTTTTAGACCTTTGGATCTTACTGGAGTTCCTTTCAAACTGATTTAATTAACGTTATTATTTTAAGGTTTTTTATCAATGTTGATTTATTTGTACAGGATGTAAAACTATAACTTGGGAATATACTATAAGAATGTAAAAACCATTTTTCCTAAAAATGATATCTGTTCAATTTTAGAAAAATGTTCCTCATTAACCATACACTGAGCCATCTTTTGCTCCTTTTGTGTTTTGACAATAAGTACTGTTCTAGTGATTTCCTATTTTTGTTTACATTTTGCTTCTTGTATGTAGAGGATATTTGTTTGTTTGTGTATAAGATGTAATTTTATTTCATCGAGTGAGCTTTTAAAACAGTATTCTCAAGAGTACCGTAGCCGCGAGGAGAATACTGTTTCTAAAGTTCACGAGATGAAATAAAATTACATCTTACACAACAAACAAACATTTTTTTAGTTTATGCTGAAAACAAGTTTAAATTAAATGTCTTCAATATTGACTTTAAAATTAAAATCTGTTTTTTCCACTGCTAGCAACATTTTCAGTTGAATTTCTCATAAATACAAGAAGTCTTGAGCTGAAAAATAAGTTCAACAATCAACGTTAAAAGGCGATGATATTTTTTATTCTATTCAAAAAATATTAATGAAATTAGTGAAAATATTTTTTTATAATTTTCATTGTGAACTTAGTGAATAAAGTTTTCACGGATAAATCAGTAATCATCCCAAAAGCATAAAATAATACTTGCTATTTCAAATTCGGAGCTATTTTATTAAGGTGATTAGCATCTCCTATTTCCTATATTTCTTGATTATTGTAAACATAATAATAAGTCACATTTTTGCTCACTCTACAGAAAGATTTTATTTGACTTTTGGCTCAAAACAAAGTTCTTATTTTACAACAAAATTCTTTTATATTGTTTCGTAATAGCTGGAATGAGTTTTTTTTGTTGTTTTTTTTTTTTTTTGTTGTTGTAAAATGTGTCTGTTATTCAATTCAAATAAATAAAATTTTTAAGAAAGTAAAATGCAAAGTTTCCTGAATGAAAACAAACAACTTTTATTTCAAGTTTATTGGGTAATAATTTCGCGTATACACCACCTGCTTTAACGGAAGTTTTCAAAAGATCACTGAATATTTTGGTTTTTTTCGATACACAAACAAATATTCGACGGCCAATCACATGTTTATATCCTTTGAAATTATAAAAAAATTGAGAGAAAAAAGGATTTCATTGTAGTACTCCCTCCAATCTATTTACAACATTATTATACCATATTATTTTTTGGAATATGCAAAAAGTTAAAATATGATACAAATACAATTATGTACACACGTACTTTGTAGGCAGTCATACAAATAAAGTAAACTAGTATACATTTCAACAAATCTAGCTCTTTTTTTACTTTTTCGTAACCCTAATTTAATGGCAAAATTACAAAAAAAATCAATTAAAAATATCACAGCGGCCCCTTATATACGTTTAAAATAAAATAATGTTTTACGCATTTTTAAAAAAGTTAACCAAGGCAAATTTTATTAAATAATGTAACAATTTTTATTGAGTTTTCATTGCGTAAAAATATGGGTTGAATTTGCCAAAAACTATCATGGCAAAAAGAAACCGGCAGCTATTATTTCTTCATATACAGATATATCTAATTTATGATAATTTAATTAAATACATGTATCATATTTATAACTGCTATTGAAACAGTGTACTGTTTGAATGTAAAATTAAAGATAATTTTGTAATCATGAATCTTGAAGTGTAACCTTTTAGCTTAACATTTTGCTAACGCCGGAAGAATTGTGAAATTTGATTGAAAAAAAGTTTAACTTAAAATCCCACGCTAATTTGAATAGAAAATTTATATAACTTTATATATCTTATTAAAACAAACAATGATATATTATCTAGGTAACATAAATATGTCATCGCAAAGTAAAATAGATTTCTCCTATGTCTAGAAAATATTTTCATAATAAAGATTAATTTTAGACGTGAAATCAACCCTCAAGCTACATTGTGCATCTAAATTACTTGTTTAGTACTTTTAAAATGACAATAAATATATTTAGATCATTTTATTACTATTGCAAGATGTTAGTGTAAACGATCATTCTTTATCAATGAACCGTAGATTTGACAGTATCCCTATATTTTCCCAATAATGATTTTAATGGAGGGTAACTAACGCACTCCCGCCCTTAAAACATGAAATAAGATAAATTAAGACTTTAATATTTATTTCATATACGAAGTGGCATTTCTAGCTCATTTAAGGCTTATCGCAATTTTTCGATTGGACGAATTTGATTGGTCGTCGCTTCGCAACGATTCTCATAAAGGAATGTAATTCTCTGTTCATTTGGAAATTATTGTGTTGGATAAAAACAGTTGGCTGAAACAGTTGAATTCTTGTTTTTGGATATAGGTAGGTTCATTTTTCTGTTATTTTATTAATATTAAAGTAGTATGTTATTAGAATTAAACCTTTTGAATAAATAACAGTTTTATCATCTTTGATATCAGGATAGATAATATTTTGCTTACTGTATCTTAAAACTCTTGAAATATTGAAATAACTTTTCAACATCTAAACGGTTTTATTTATACGTTCAAAGTTTACACATAACAAATATTTTATCAGAAAGTAACGTAACTATTTATATATTAAAAACTAATTATAAGTTCTTACAATTTGTTACAAGTTGATGTTTCCTCCATATTTGCGTGTTTTTTTTCTGTATTATGTTGATAATTACCATTTCAATCAAATACCATTTTCCCAAAAATACCATTAAAAAAACAAACTTAAATTTTGCTGTAACGTTAAGTTCGTTTCAACCCTTATACCTTAAACTGCTCGAAACTATGTTATTCAAAAATGGTTGATAAAATGATGATAATACCATAACAAGTTAAGTCTTAGTTAGTTTATCCCATATATTTAAATTTATTACGTTATATACAATTTAAAATGGAATATTTTTATTCAACTTTGGACAGTTTTTTCTCAATCGTATTTAACACATTGTCAGATAATAATAAAGAATATGATATGATAAAGACATTATATATTAAACTTTATATCATCTTTGTTACCAAATCAATTGCATATATCTGAAAGAAATATGAATTGCCATTGAAGTTTTAGATCAAATTCTAATACAGGCTTTATAAAGTTTCAAAGGAACCAAATGACTGTAATTTCATATTTTGCCATGTAACACCATGGGGAGATACGTTTATATTTATTTTTATGACAAAGCCGAAATAGAAAAATGCTTAGAAATTTGGTAGTTATCATGTTAAAAAAACGTTTAAATTTACAGCGTCCTAGATCTGTAAATCTGTATTAAGTATATAAGAACCACTGTTAATTACGTTTAAGAACAAATACCAAAAATTACAAATGATTCATAGTAAATATTGTACTGTTTGTAAAAATGTACAATAACATAGTTATAATTGTCAGCTAAAGTAGACAAAGTGTTTGAAAAGTAACGAAAAGAACATGACAGCAATATCATCTCAATTATTGGCAATATGTTTAGCATTTATCTAGTAGACTAGTATCTAGTAGACAGGGACCTTTTTCCTTAAAATTAATTTAATGTCAATTATGCCTGAAATGGTATTATTTTCTTTTATAAGAAAATTTTTCTTTGTGGTACTTCCTTTAATGACCTTAATACTCATTTGTAATATAGCAAAACAAATCATATCGAATTATGTTTAATATCTTAAAGTGGCATTAGCGCATCCAAATGTCAATAATCAGTTAACAGGCTTAAATAGAAATAGAATGACATTTTGTCATAACTGTATTTAATGTTATATTAGATTTTTTTTTAATCAATAATAAACGTGACCAAAAGAAATTTCATTAAATATCCTTTTATTAAAATGTATCGTTTACGTTAACTTCTTATAAAGAGTGGATCAGTCATAGTTTTTAATTCAGGTCGTTTTTATATTGTATCATAAACATTTATAATTATCAATTATTGGTCAATCGCCATTATCATAGTCAATCTTACTTAATCATATCTAATAAATATTACTTATTAAACTCAATGTGGCAGCCACAAAAAATAAACATAACTATAAATGTCTTCTTTCTGTATCCATAAAATTTCTAACGAGAATGACGATCGTTCCTTGACCATGAAAAACAATTGTCATATTCTTATTATTGATTATATTAACATAAATATATGTTTTGCAACATTTAAACTGTTTGCGGTATTTGTGTTTATATAGCTGAAATAACTAGTACACTTCAATGAAACGTAATAGCCATTTGCTTATGAGAATTCGAATAACCAGAAATTTAAATTGTACAAAATTAAATGACATTTCCGTACTTCATTTTTTATACTGCTTTGTATGATTGTTTGAATTTGTTAGTCGCTAGACTGCTAAGGTATTTTATTGTCTTGTTATTGCTTGAAAATTGTTTTTGAACGTCAATATACTTTAATCAGATCGAACCGTTCAACGCAGGTTAGGTTTAACAGATTTCTGCGTAGGAAATAACTAAATATCCGGATGATACTTTGATATAGTCTGTTGCGTGAAAAAGTAAAAACTCGAAGACAAAATTAATATGAGCAGGATAGAAAAGTGCTTTAAAGAAACGATTTAAAAGCGACGTAGATATTGTTATTCATTAATCAAACTTATTTGATGTCTTTTATCAAAGATAGGTGCCTGCTTATGCAGTACAAACAACCTCTGATATGATGGATACTTATTTGTAACTATTGCGTATTTTTATTTTGTGATAAGATAAAGCCATTTGCACATAATCTAACACTTAGCGTAATAGTCGCAACTGAATCTATATATGCGACAAGTGCAAGATTAATCCCTGCATCCATGCTGTCTGATCATGGTCTGCACTGTCCTATATTCAGTCAGTACTTATTTTGAAATTTATCTGGAAAATGATGAATACGTTTGTAAATATAGAAAGATGGACAAGTATATTTAAGATATTTTGCGTGGTAAGGCACAAAATGATCCAACATTGTTCGGACCGAACTCACCTAAAATTTTAAACAAGGAGTATGTATTATGTAATAAAACAGCAGTACCAGTCACAAACAATTTTGACACAGTTACGCCTACACCCAAACTCACAAACCAGAAGAAAAGAATCACCTTTCTCATATTTTTTCTACATGCAGCTTTAAGACAGCGTTTAATTGTAGGTGGTAAGAACTGTTCCATTACTATGACAATAGCATCGTTTTATAATGGTATTTAGAAATTATAAAGCAAGTTGTTTGCTTATCAACTGGAAACAATTAATTAAGGAAATAAACGGATCGTATTATCCGTTAGGTGTCTTCTTTCAGGCAATCACTTATACATCCTACGATGCCGACAATAAAATTGATATTTGCACCTTTTATAGAATCACAGCTTGAACATACGTTGGCTATTAAAACGTTTTTATTACCGATACAATTAGCTTTTGATACAATTAGACGAAGTTTGCGACGACAACGACAATTTATTGTGCAACAGTGTAAGGAAATATATAAAGCTAAAAACAATAACACTTAGAGATTCATATCATATGACGTACGGTCGTAAATATTTAAAAGTGATAGTGATATGCAAATAAATATTAGTTCACCTAGACAGTCATATGTCTTAGGTAAGCAGACATGAGCGCAGCGAGGGGGATACAATATATTAACGAGAAAGAGAAGATTATGCAGGTACTCGATTTCACATATGATTTAAAATGAAAAGGCAGACAACTATGCTAATGATCAGTGTAATTCATTTCATTACACACAACAAAAATTCTCGATTGCGGAAGTTCTTTGCAAATGTAGGTGTGGAAATTAAAATACTAATACAATTTGTCATTTCGACGATTAACTTCGACAAAAAAACGAAGGAAATACAAGAGTGAATAGACGAGTGCCTTTATTTTATACACATGTACTCGCATGTGTAATATAAATTCGATTTGGGTGACTTTTAAAAAAAATCTTGCCTGCAAATGCATTATAGTCGGTTAAAAACCTTATCTGTATTTTAGTAACAAATATTTTACTATAAAATAATTGAAATAACTGAGCTATAGGTTTCTTTTTTAAAACATCTGATTGAAAAGTCCTTATATTTGCCGACAGACGGAGATAAGTGTGTTTAACAATACATTGTCATAAATTACACGACCAATCACATATTTGGCGTTACCTTGAAGCACAATTCACGTCCATACATGTACTGGGCTCCCTTTTTTACCTCATAAGAAGCATTCGAAAACTATTTTTCAAAACTTCTTACTTAATCAATTAGTATTTTCTTTAAGATAAATAGAAAATTTTCAATTCCATTAACAGCATCTAACATTATATCTTTAGGAGATATCTTATTGTTCTTTTCAAATGTCTTCAATGTAACTTGAAAAGACGCATTACATCTTTTATTCTTTAGTTATGCCTGTAAGAAAACGATCGAATTCTTTTCTAGAAAATTACGAGTCATGCTTCTGTTTGAGATTTCATCAAAGTGAATGTGACAAAATATACTTTTCATGATTAATTCATTTAGAGGAAATGACATAAAAGACAATTTGATGGTAATCTTTAATAACATTATTTCATTAAACAGAAAGACATGTGAAAAATCCATTAATACAAATTTGATTTACATTGGGCATGCATTTCTTTCATATTCTGTTTGACAGAGGAGAACTTTATCAAAATTATATCCGCGATTTCCATTCATGTGTTCACCAGTTTGTTACAAACTATTTAGATAGCCTTTCTTGAAAGCAAACTCCGTATCACTTAAACATATAGTTAACACAACTTTGCGTCAACATTGAAAATGTCGTATTTTACACATTTAATCACATATCGCTAACTTCCAGTATAATTAGGTGATGCACAGCTGTGTGTGCCCTAATATCACAGGATGACGCCCTGCATGAACGCTTCAACATGCATTTAAACATTCAGTAAATTAAAGCATTTCCAGTCAAACTTAGACCGCAATCACTTGAACGTTGCTATGTTTTACAGCTATTTTACGTTGCGTCTTCAATATAAATGTCACTTTAAAGCTCTCTTTGAATTTGAGAGTTCAAAAACCTGTTCTTATATTTGACAAAAAGATACTTTGATATCACTTTTCCGTTCAAACATTTTAGCTTAATTTTTCAGGAATTCTTTATCTCTAAAATGAAGACTAATTGAAGTGAGTGTTAACACTAGCTAAAATATAAATATGAGAAATGTTCTACGTCAATGCAACATGTATTTCATTTAAAATAGAATAATTATTTTATACAATATATAGTCATATAAGAAACTCGTTTTCGAATATTCATTTTTCATTAATACTAGGCATATGTTAACGAATTTTGAGTTGTCTTTTGAAAGAGTAACACCCTGTTTTTCG